TGCGCAATTTGCTGCAGACCCGACGATAAGCTGAATGGCACACTGTACTTGATTTAGGCTGTCTGACTGAGGCAGAACGCCAGGATACGAGTACAGTCCGTCGGTCGTCGGCAGCAACTCACCCGAACATCCGTTTCCAGCTCCAATTTTCTGGGTGCGCTAGAGCAGTTGCATCTGGACAAGCTGGTTTGGGATGGCACTCAGTGCTAGATGCGTGGCCAGCATCGTTATTAGATTCTAGTCAAAGTCCTCCCCTTACCGTCGCAAGTTTGGGAGGCTTCGAATCAACAATGATTTTTTCGGATCTTCGCCATCTGATTCCAACTCAGATATATTCAGAACCAGTTTTATCCAAACGTTCATGAGTTGTTCTTATAGACGCCTAAAACAGACATTTTTATTGCGGCAGGAAACTTCAACTCCCGTGTCTGTCAGCTGCTTTTACGTGAACGCCTCCTTGGGGACGACATAGATACAAAATGTTTGCTCTGACAAAGAAGAACGACCGCTCGGTATCTGTGCCGACCACCAGCTTCTCCGCTCCGGCACAAGGTTTCGTCATCCAGGCTACCACTATGCTACTTGGCATCCTCCATCATTCTCACGGCGCTGGTCGCAAAATGACCACATAGCCACAAATCGCAGGTCGCATGGCAACAAATAAGATTGCCAGTCAAATTGGTAATCTTGTGTCGAAGCTGACCATGCATGGATTAGTGTGTGGCAGTTTGCATGCGTTTTTGTTGCTGACCATAGGTCAACCAAATCCGTGTGAACGTCTACAAGTTTGAAGACTCAATTGTGAAAAAAGAGTATCAACCGTGGCCACGTAAAAATGCTTTCTTTCCCCTTATCTGGATGTTGACCGGCATTGACTAGGTTTACAACCAGCCATGCCATCTGCCCGTTCGTCCAGCTGCGGCTTCGCCAGGTGCACAGCAGAAAGACAGGTTTTGGTACGATCCTCGGAATTGCTAGATAATCGACAAGCTGTGCCCACCTGTGTCAAACACAGCTAACTGCCCCCGCCTGTTTTGCAACAACTGGAAGGAAGCCTTTGCTCTGACCTTGAATAATGGTGGCCAAAACGAGCTACTGCGATGCAACTCACTGCATCGGTTGGAAACTACCGTAGCTTGTTTTGTCTTATTAAGGCCACCGGTTGTAAGTAACACGTCATCAAGGAGGCAGGACGAAAATCACAAACCTGTGTTGGTGCTTGAATGGCTGGGCATAGCGCCTGCTGGTCAGTTCAATTTCTCAGCGCAGTACTCTGTGACACCCATTATTATTGGATGGTGCTTGGCCTGTCCTCACAGACCTTCCTGCCGAAACAGAGGGTTGAGGTGCAATCCAATTGTTGACATTTCATAATGCTCCAGGCTCTTCCAAATTCCAACAGTTCTATTCAAAGGGTGGATTGCATCTGACAACGAAATTTTTCGCTGTTCACTGTATGGACTGAAGCTTACGTTCTCAACTCCTGGGGAGAATTACGCGCTGTCCGATTCCCAAAGAAATCTCTTACGAAGATTGATCTACGTATGACGAAAGTTTATTTATCTCTCGAGTCCAAGATTGTGGTGTCCGTGTTAGCAGACTTTCAAGGACTCAAGAGGAATTTTTCCATGGAGGAACAGGCCGTTTTCTTTCAGCCCGAGGTTGCATCTACCTAAGTTTCACATTCTGTCGACTCCTCGAGCTCTGCCACGTCCACCGACGACCAGCAATCGTAGTGTTCATGGACATCTGAGTGACACTTGATTCAGTAGACAGCTTCGTATTGTAGAAATGTTCACGGAGAAAAGCCGTGCCAGGCAAGTTTGTAGCCATGCTGAAGGAACTATAGTCACACATCGGGCAAGGTCAGAGCTTAAGGCAGGCTCTCTTCTCCGCTTGCTGAAACCAGTGACGTTCAATAAGTTTGCACTATTTCACCTTTCCTCTTCAATGTTGCAATGAAGTTATCTCATGGCGAGAATTAGGTGTCTAGCAATGCGGTGTTGAGCATCTCCGACAACTGAGTCGCGGAGTTGGACGACACTGCTGACTTCAGTTTGTAGGGAACCGGTCCATGCGCCTTCCGAAACCATTTTAACTGCTTAGTGATTGATACAGCCAATTGCGGTTTCTAGTTCACTCCAACCAAATGTGAACCACTAGTCCAGGATTAGGTGGTGTCTTTGCCCGTGCTCACCATTGCTGACGGCACACGGGAACAAGTCGCTTGCTTCACTTATCTACGGAACCGTAATTCGGATGGTCGTGGTGTTGGATATGAGACTTTGCAACAGATCACATTGGTCCGCCTTGTTTCCACAAGACGGAGACACCTAAATCAACATCGCAATCTCAATCCCAAGCTCAAGCGGTCCTCTTGTGCGACCGTGAGTCCAGGCTGTTCGTTCGGAACGGATGAAACGATTGTCAGTTTTGGCAACCGTTCTCTGCGAAGACTTGCTTGTGTGTGGTCGTGACCTTACTTATGAAAGGAGTAGTAGCCTTGTGCTAAGAGCTGACAGTCCCCTCTTTCAAAGCGTCATTCTCCGATATCATATGCACTGCCGGAACACTTAATGCGCATGCCTACCTATCGTCTTGCACTTCCAGGGATAATCACACTTCTCGGAATTGATTGGTAAGGTGTCGCGGTGGACAATCAATGAAGTGAATAGGGGGCATGGAGAAGGCAAACTCAAGTTTGGTATCAATTGGACTGGTCCGCCTTCCACAGGACACTGACTTCCAGTGGTTGTAAACTTTGTATGTTATTACCGGTAACCAACACCAGTTGCAACCATGCTCTCCTGCAGCATCGTGCATAATTTGATTTTCAGTTGCATAAGATAATAATAGTGGCGTGTGTGAAAAGCAAAAAAGTACTATCCTCTTTTATTTGTTTATTTTTTATTTCTCTATCGTCTTCCATGTTCGCCACTGTTGAGGTGGCGTTCGTTTTATCTAGGCTTGTGGTTATATATATATATATATATATATATATATATATATATATATATATATATATATATATAAAAGCAACCCATAAAGCAGCTTGGGTTTCGCCGTACACGTGTAATTTGGACAAGCATAAACTGCCTGGATGTTGTCAACACCATATGTCAGAAATTCTCCACAAAGTTCCGGAGCCCAACTTCGTCTCCTATATAGTTCAGGCAAGCTGTTCTACCTCCATGACTTTGCTGTGTTTCTTTTACGACCGCAGATGCTCTGAGGAGTGTTTTTTCCTTGCCCAACCCTAGCACTCCCTGTGCTCATGATAGCCAACCAGAAGCATTTGGTTTGGCAACGGTGAATTCATAAGAACCGCTCTCTCAAATTGCTTCATTTAGCTCTTGATGAGATGCGTGTCTCAACGATTTGGAAGCACTGCATTGTCACTCTCATCCACAAGGGGGAAACTGGGCAGGTCGGGCCAACTACCGTCCGATGACCATCCCTCTGGTGCCTCGCAAACCCACGAAGGTCATTGCACCGGAAGCACTCATGGGTTAGTTGAAGAAACGCTGCATTATAGAACCGGTCGTACACCACAACGCTGCTATTTGTTCGTTCCATTTGGGTCGAAAGGGTCGATACCGCTGTGGTTGAGGTAGTTTGTCTTGACTTATCAACCTTCTAAATCCCTGCATTCTCTACAAGATTCAGAGCTGTAGAATCGGCAATCCAGCTCTAGATTGGATGGACGATTTTCTCCTTCAATAACACATGAATTTGAGTTCACACCGTCATATCGCAAGCAACTGAAGTTCAGAGTGGAGTGCCACAGAGTCCACGTCTATTCATGTCTTACATGAACGATGATGCCATGGGGATCAGCTGAAATATTTTACTCTATGCTGACGAATTAAATCTACGGCGAGCCATCAGTACAGCGGGCAACCATGCATCACTGTGAGATAATCGAAAAATCGAATGTGAATCGGCTTGATTACAAAACAGCCAAGTACTAAACACTTAGCGTGCACTGTCAAGGGACGCGCGAGTACAGACTGGCGGAACAGCTAGCGCAGAGCCCTTCTGATTGGTGTGAGCCAGGAGTAAGGGACAGGATGACCTTGGCAAGTGGTCTGATGAATCCTCTATGTTAGAGGCGAAACGTTACCAAATTACTATACAAAACCGATTGTTTTCAAACCTCTCTGAACTCATGACTACTCGATCGGTTCCAAGTATCTTCCAAGTAGGTAAACCTTCCTCTCAGGGGATAGGTAACCTATTGGTAAATGTCCTATGACAGACGCGCTTCCACTCACTTGCATCTCATGTTGTTCTGTATTCGACAAGCGGAAATTCCAAATCCTGGACTTCATTAGCAGAACTGCCGCTTCCGTAAGACACAGAACAACGATAATTCCATCAGTCGCTTGCCAATCACACACGTGTGCTGCTTGGACAGCAGGTCCGTTGAAACTCACTATCAGCACTCGTTTGTCTTGAGCCTGTGGGATTCTAACCCACAACAGTCTTAGTCGTGAGGTATCAACATAATGAGCTGAGCTACGGTACACGGCCGCATTTAGCCTGAGTGCGCCACTAGTTGTGATAACGTAGAGCTCAACGTGTAGCTAAGATAACTGTTCCCGACAGCTAATATGAAGTAACTATGTGAAGCCCATTCAGGTAAGTACAAATTCACTAATGTGGCTACAGAATGAAGCAAGTACTTGTACTAATTGCTTTAATGTGTATCATGCGGTACATTCTATTTTCGGCGAACTGTAAGCTGTGCACCCCTTAATGCTTCCTTACGGTATCCCTGATATATGCTTGAGTGCAATATCTTGTAAGTCAAGTTCAAACCAAACCAAATCTTGTTACTCAATGCGGCATTTCTTGGAATTCTTGTTGATGAATGACCTTAAAACCAGAATAATTAATGGCGGGAATACGAATTATGGAATGGATTAAAAACTTTACGCTTTTATTAAACAACTACTGCAAACCAGCCGTTTAAGTGATTTAATAACTCGATTGCTTACAGTGATGTTCATTCGGACGCCACCAATAAGTTCATTCAATCGCTTGGTGGTTTCGACGTCAGTGAGCGGTTGACGTAATCCGCCTTTCATTTTGGCTTCATTCAGCACGAGATGTTCTGAAGGCACACACATTTTTGAAGATTAAAAATAAATACAATGACTGTTATGAGTACCGCATGAGCGCGCATCATAATATACTTGCATACACCTCGTCTAGATGATAAATTAATATTCCACTGGCTTAAAATGAATGAAAGAAATTGTGCACATGCTCATGTGATTTGCTCTACCGTTATCGTTTTTATTTCCGGCGTAGTTCATATAATCTTTCAAAGAAAGGCTAATTTTTTGGAATGTCGCAATTTGCACCCAACGGCATTCAGGAATCTGAGGTCACTACTACATGCTTTTGTATTCATTGTGATTTTCTATTTATACTGTGCTAAGTAAAAAGTATGACTGCTGGCGCTTAGACAGAAAATGAGCTTTGAAGTGCTTCTGCAACTCTGAGCGAGGAAGGCAGCTGGTCTAGCTGAAAAAACCTACGGTATAATCTACAAATGTCATCACATCTATATCCTGACCCCGTTTCTAACTCGACCGTTTCTCAATGCTTAAACGTTCGCCATGTAAACCTCATGGACCCAGACCTTTGTAGGTTGACCATTTTGGTTTAGTCCCTTGAGTGATTGTACTGCATAAGGATTGTGTGTTCCGAACCCCTATTGTGACAAAACGAAGCGGCAAGAATGCGCAATACTTCTTGCTCGCAATTACGGCTAACCAAGCTGTCATATATGCGCACATATATCAGTTATATTGCTGTCCTGCAACACAGCATACATGGAAGTTACTACCTGCCACATTCGTGCGTCTTTTCATCCCAACTTGGCGAATCTTTCCTACCTATTTGCCAGCGTACATTTGCTTCTTTAACTCGCATACTGACAAGGCTGGAGTTGTTCCAAGGCTCTTGATTTACATGCTCTTGGTTGCCTTACTCTGCTTGGGGTTACTCCTGGATGCTCCGACAAAGGTGTTTCTGTCTGATTTATTGGGTTTTCGGTCAACACCTTCTCTGTTCTCCCTCGCTCAGGTCCAGTCCCGTTCGTCACACGCGATCCGCTCACGGCTCGTTCTCTGGGGCTTTCGTTGCGCCGTATGATCGCGTCTATGCTACCTGTGCCTGTGGCTGTCCACATCGGTTCTTCTGGCTTTCCAGTCCTCCGGCCCATCGAGTCTTTCCACGCCACAACACTATGGCTGCGCTACTAAAGTGATGAAGCTCATGTGTGTTTGGCACTGCTGTCATGATAACGGGCTGCGTCACGTGATGCTGCAAGGTTGTGATAGCCAGGATCGACCTTGGTGATTAGCTAAAACGAATCCTGAGAATCGAAGTGAATAACGAGTCCGTGTTTACCATGGATACACCTTCAATTTATAAAACTCGGTAAGGGAATCACTGAAGCTTGATCATTCGTATACTCTAAGTCGTTTGGCTAGTTGTGTCTGCTGCACTAAGAAGGCAACAAAAAAGGCAGTATCTGTATCCGTACTCAACCAGATGACCAACTCAACACGCAGAATAATTAATTTTAGCCTTCCGAATTTTGCACAAACCATGCGAAGCGACTTGCTGTGTGTCAGCGACCCAATGAAATGTGAGGAGGGACATCGTGATGAATCGGCCACAACCACCCCCGTTAGAAGGGCCGCGCCACGCGGGCTGGTATCGATCGACCGGCTTCGAAGATCTTGTTGACCGGCGAAGCTGACTTCGCGGTAGCGGCGATTCGGCTTAGTGTTCACACAGTTTGAGACTAGGTAGCTAGTCCATGGGCAGTGTGCAACCGATATGCGTTATCAATTAGTCCGTTTTCCAATCGATAGCTAGCCGTGCCTAGCGTCTGTCTGATTTGTAACGGCATGGATAGAGCTGGGAGGTCATTGGGCGTAGCCCATCTCTTTACTCGAACGTATGCTGCAGGATGCATATGAGTTGACGAAATGGCGTAGGAATTTTGGTAATGTGGTATGCGATTTGAAATTTCTGCACGTCCCGCCGATGACAGGTAATGTGCAGCATTTAATTTGGTGCGTAAGGTCCTTCCTAACATCAGCTCCGCCGGCTTTCTTCTGGTAGCCCTGTGATCACAAGTTCTGTAAGAAAATGCAGCAGTTAAGGCCGCGTCTTCTAAATCCGACCCTCCTAAGTGGATGGGCTCCATGGCTTCCTTGAGGGATCGATTTAGCCTCTCGAACATGCCATTGGTCTCAGTACTGTAAGGTGCAGTTCTGGGATGTTTTATGTTATGGCATTAGAAGAAAAGTGCGAAGTCGTGACTACACACTTGTGATCCATTGTCCGTGACTATTTCTCCCGATAGTCGGAAACTACTGAGCCAGCGTAATACAACCCATGTAATCACTTGGTCACATATGTGGACTTCAGGCCACTTACTGTAACAGCATGTAGCAACAAGTAGAGTTTTCTTATACGTAGAAGCGGTGGCAAAAGGATCTATGTTATCAATGGCGATCTTAGACCACGGCTTCATCGGGTAAGTTATAGGCTATAGCGGGGTTTCGACGGGTAGAGATATTTTGTCCCACTGGCAACAGGATTTACAGTTCATCACGAAAGCCTCAATGCTAGATGCCATTGGTGATGACCAAAAGTAGCGGTTCGCTTAATTTTTGGTCAGAACCCTACCCGGGTGCCCTCATGTGTACAAGCAATTATCTCGTTTGTCAACTGCCGTGGAGCTATAAACACCGAATCACATATAAGGCAGCCATCTACCACTGATAATTCATCTCGTAGTGTGTAATATGGAATGAACTCAACAGGGACTTTGTTGTTTATAGGCCATCCCTGTTGCACTTATTCGCTAAGTTGATGTAGCACCGGGTCGTTGGTATTTCCCGTTCGTAATTCCTCGATCGTAAACGCAGTTAGGTCAGAGTCAATGCTGCAAACTAATACTACCTCTCTGAGTCTCTACTCGTCATCCTCAAGCCCCCGGGTACGCGATATAACCCATCAGCAACTTGGTTTTGCAACCCTGACTAGTACACAATTTGAAAACCGTAGTTCAGGAGTCTAGCAAACCAACGATCGATTCGCATTGGACACGATCCATTAGATCCGTTGCTAAGGAGGACTGTAAGGGCAGAATGATCAGTTAGTAGAATAAAACTACGAACAAACAGGAAAAGCCTCAACTTTGTTAAGCTCCCGCACAAAAGTAAAATCCTCTTCATTCCCTACTAACTAATGGCGCACAGAATCTGTTTTCGGTATGCGTGAGCAATAACTTGCCCCGCTCCGTTTTGTTACTGTGACAGAACAACACAGAGGTCAACACCAGACGCATCAGTCGACACAAGAGTGCGGCATGATTCATCAAAAATGGCAATCAAGGGAGCAGGTACAACCCTACTTTTCAGTTCATCGAAAGCGTTTTGCTGATCGCTTCCCCAAGTGAACGACGCTCCTTTCTTTGTTAGCTGTCGTAATGAATCTGTTAGGGTTACAAAATTTTGCAAATTGCACAGATTGTAGGAACACATTTCCAAAAAAGACTTCAGTTCTGTCACGTTCTTGGGTGGGTGATTGTCCGGGTGTTTTTGTTGCTTCAGCGAATGCCGCCAAGCTATCTAATGTGTCTCCGAAATTGAACCTCATGGGTATTGTATTGACATTTTTTGCATTAAGACGTAAATCAAAATCATAGAGCCACCGAAGGATCTTGTGTAACCTTTCATCATGAGCTTGTGAGCGGCCGAAAACACAGGTATCATCCATTTATGCAGCCTGCCCCACAATACCTGCTAAGGCGTGAGTCATGAGCTTTTGTCAGGTAGCCGGCGCAGAACTCAAACCCATTGGCAACACTTTGTACTGCAATAAGCCATCAGGAGCAAGCAAGGCAGTAAGATGCTTCGAATTGTTGGCCAATGGCATACGGAAGGATGCACTTGGCAAATCTAGCCTGGAAAATACGCTTGCACCAGCTAGAGTTAGTGGGTTCTTCGTTGGATAGCAACACCAATCGCTCTGGGACAAGTTGCTCATTTTCTCCCTGCAAATCGTTGCATATCCCGACAGTGTCAACACTTTTCAGGACACTCACCTGTGGGTGCACCGACCCAGAACAATCGATGGATTCAGTCAAAGCATTTGCTAACGTCTCATGCAGGGCTGCTGAGACAGCTTGACGTTTTGCTTGCGGAATAGGCCAAGGTTGACCAATGGCAACGGGTTTTGCATCCCGCTTCAACCGAATGCGATGCACACTACATGGAATACGTCCGATGGACTGTTGAAAAAGTTGTGTCACTTTGCCGGAAGAGACAAACATGCAGTTGAAAGATGGCACCATTTGCAAAGCCACCGTGACGTTTCTTCCTAGTTAGAGTCATCAGTTATCCTAAGAAATGGGTACTGCAACATCTACAGCTACCGAATGCCGCTGTAAGCGCACGATCCTGAATCCCAAAATGAATGTGAATTAGGCTATAAAGTATGCAGGGATAGGTAGCGTTCATACATTTGCAAAGGTACGACGGTAACTGTAGAAGCAGAATCTATCTCCATTTCAACTGGAACAGTGCATTTAATGATAGGGAATGAGACAGTACGAACATCATCGGAGGGGATCTTTGGTTCACCAACGGATATTGTTAAAGTTTTTGAAATGTTGGCGTTAGCGAGGAGCGAACAAATGTTTTCCTGTGATGGATCAGCAATATGGCTTTCAGGTGTAGCATCCTTGTTGCGATGGCCTGCGAACGATAACATCGGGCGTAACAGGTTTTGTACCTGAAGCGGCATGCGGGAGGTGGCAAAATTGGCTTTATGAGAAGCAGTTCCACAGCGATGGCAAGATGGCTTGTCGGAAAGATTGCACCTTTGCTATCTCAGCTGGGTTGGTCGAACAGAACTATTTCGCTTGCAGTGAAATTTCAGTTTTCCTTCTGGTTAACTCGCAAGCTCGATCCCACTTTAATGTGCACGCCATTTTTTGCAACATCAGCTCATCTATACAGTTGTGGGCAATTCCAGAAAGCAATTGCTGAGTCAGTATACTGTATTCGAATTTTTCTGGGAAATGGACGAATAATCACACGGTCGTACTGTGCGACTCAACCGGGCAATGAAATGCTTCAAGGGTTCACCAGTTTCCTGATGCATGTGGGAGAGAAGGTATTTTGCTGTACACACATTCATTTGGTAAGCTAATTTGCGATCTAATGCAATGAAAGCTTCTTTAAGGGATTTACATCCTAGTAGACCAAAAACATCAAATTGTCGCTGCCCCTCATCCCCGAGTAAATGTCGAAGCAGCTTCCATTTGTTTTCCTCACTAAGAGCAGTATGGAAAGCGCTGATTAAACCCAAGTAGTTTTGGAAGTAGGTTCTCCAACGGAGCCAACGGAGCATCTGATTTTGGTCTGCTACTGCAATCCGTCGGAATTAGTGATGGGGGCTGAATGGAGAGGTTCATTTTTGGCCTCGCAACGCCAAATGTTGCATGCAACAGAAAATTGCAGATTGTGTATCCGTACTCCATCAGGAGTTAACAGACTTTATACAGAGTAATTAATTTAACTGACCGGATTTCACACAATCAGTGAGAAGAGACTCGCTGTGTATCAGCCAGCTAATATAATGGGAGTTGGGGTGATGAATGGACCACAACAGTATTTTACTTAAATAACCATTACTGTTATTGATTAAATAACAGGAGACTTTTTGGATGTACGGAATCAGCACACTTAGAATGGTTAAACGGCTTTCGCTATCAGCTGTCCAACTAGTGGCTTTGTAGCTGACAATTTTCATTAGGGTGGATGTCGCGTTATGTCAGCTTCGTCTTCGGTTTGCGCAGGTGTGAACATAGTGAATTTTTCGCGTCCTGGTAAGCGGTGATAAGAATGCGACGTTCGCGAAGGTCCCAAATGGCAGTATTGGTGCCACCTTTACTGACGCAAGCTACAGGGTGCTGAACAAGTACTCTGAGTTCGAAGCAGTCACTGGTTATTAAAGAAATATTGGTCATCATTTCCAGAGTAACCATAGATGCCACCGTAACCACGTTGATCGCAGTTGGCAATGACTAATAAAACCGTGTATTTAAATATCTGTGTACCATGCATAAAAAGCATCATCCGTTCAGCTGGTTAGATATGCACTTTCAGACAGGTTAACCACGTAGTATGCTTAGACATGACGGCTTCCGTTATGGTTGTAGGTCTCAGGTTGTTTTCTATGCTTTGCGATTTCGCGACATTCCACCAACAATAATTCGTGGGACACAACAAACATAGGCTGAAAGCAATCCGCATGTTCCTAAAGCTGATGCTGATATCTACGAACAATAATCTACTTTAAGGAATTCACCCGAAGTTGAGCTATCAGTTGGATGGCCTATGGAATCGATAGCCGTGTTGATTTTGATTACAATTAACCTGGAAAAATTGTAGTCATAAATTACGAGCGCGTATTAATAGGAAGATAGATGGTTTGTTATTTAGCCAGAGTCAAACCACTGCATATATAAAGACGGCTCACCAAGCTGAATGTGTAGCAAAGCCACCTTCGCATTATGCACCCGGGTTCTTGGAGATAAATCAGATTTCGTTTGCCATTGAGCTGAATCTACTGTAAGAAAGCAACTCAGAGGGGACGTATTTAGGTTTTACATGTAGTACACTTTGTCATGTTTCACCAGAAATAATTGAAATAGAACTAATCAGGAAACACGAAAAAGTAGAGCAGCCACTAAGAGTTCGAATGATCTACCTGGTTTCACTCATGCATGAGAGCGGAAAGAACATGGACTGGATGTTCTACAAAGGAATGCTGCATGAAATGGGTCGTTCGATACTGTTAACCCCAAATATAACAGAAAGTTGAGTTGTGGTTAAAAGCACGAGGAAATTGCTGCCCAACGCTTCGAATATTTTCGAAAGACAGCCAATCTGCTAGGTCCCATCAATGTCTAGATATTTCTATATGGTATTAGCGTATTGCTCAGACCACGGAGCGAACAGTTTTGTACTCTGGTACTGTGTACAAAGATGTCCACCATCTTTTGTATTGCAGGGCTTAAGATGTGATGGCGTGCTCCAACGCTCAGGATGACTGATCAGACAACAACGATTTTCCAAACGGATTAGAATCGACCGCCATATGCACAACAGGTTTGTTCGGGTTACGCCACATAAGTGGAAAGTGGTTTCTTGGCAACCGCTCACCACCCGCTGTTCTCGAACACATCTCAAGACGGCAAATATAACCCCTTGTGTCGCAATCACGTGGTTAGCTGATACTATTTATGGACGGAAAGCAATATTTAGCGTCAACTCGCATAAACGAAGACATGAGTTTATGGATCTTGGGATCTTAGTCCGCATCTTCTTGGAGTCACGGTACCTGCAACAGAGAATGTGATGATAAGGGTCTTTTATAGATAAAATCGTTGACGCTCTGAAAGCCTGGTTCTATCCTGAACCTCATGTCAACAAGAATGGGAATCCCAAAATTCCAACTACTTTTTTTCGTCCAGGACGTAAGGGCATAAGGAAAGTAGGGGCAAACTGAGACATGTTTCACCCGTTGTCATCATTTAGCCTGCTCACAAACATACCTGAATGATTCAGAATATCAAGAAATCCGCTGTACACGACGAACTGATCCTCCTTCTGTTCGCATAGACCTGTTATTTGAGAAATAAGAGGTACAGTAAGTCAGGGTAATTCCACACCGGGGATAATTTCAAACCATTTTTTGTCCGGGAACTTTTCAGCAAATGAAAGGAAGTTTTGGTCTCTGCAAGAGTTCTTCCTTTTAGAGACACCAATTTGCCAGTTTCCTGCTTACATAAGATCAGCACCATTTACAAGCTGTTAGAGAGAGATAAAAAAAACACACAAGCTAGCCACCTTTTAAAAAGTCTCTAATTGTCTTAAAACGCATTATTTGCCGGAATTCGAGGAATACAAGCTAATTTTGTTAGTGTTATTACTTGTCTATGTTTAAATTATTTGTCTCCTGAGATGATTTTACGTTCGTGATTGACAAATTACTTGTATGTTCGGGAAATTACACACCCTTGTGAGGGTAATTTCAACTGGTTGTGCAACTTTTGTAACAGACATGCAGTACTGATGTACCGAACTTCAAAGCAGCATAAAAAGTCAAAAATCCAGTCGGCTGCAAATAAGCCGACATTTGACAAGTGGTTTCAGCTGCTTAAGGAAATCCTAACAATCAGTGGTAGTATGAATAGGCCCGAAAGAGTTTATAACGTTGATGAGAGTAGCTTTAAAATTGCTCCTGGGCGATTAAGACTGATTTATGAAAGAGGGATCAAAAACCAATGGGACGTCATTCTGGAGATATTCTGACTGCTCAGGTATGTATGGAGCGGTAAGAATCAGCAAGGGTAGCAAAAATCACAAGACCACAGGGGATTGCAAAAAATAAAAATGGTCGTAAGCGTAAAAGGGAGTTGGACAAAAAGGAACCATCCAGTTGACATAATCAGAAAGATACAAATGTTTTAGACAAAGATAAACCGTCCTGTTCGTAAGCTCAGGTCGACAATGTTTCCACGGAAAAGCGAGAGAATGGTTGGGAATCTTACATAAATATTAATTTTTTATGTCGGAGAGTGATGATGATTGTTTGCCCCCCGAAGATGCTGTCGAGTAGAAATATATTTGTGAACTTTAGTTTGTGACAGACAAACTCAAGTGCCTGCCAATTCCTTGGTTATGATGTTTGAAAAACTTCTAACTAGGGCGGAAGGTGTGGAATGGCCCCATTTTCCTGTTTTATCAAAATAGAAGTAAAATGCTAATACCTTGGTTGGAATTGTGGTTTTTCAGCACATTTCTTATAGTAACATTAAATGTAAAGTATCGCTATAGTGGTAATATGTCTGGTTGTGACTATTTTTAGACTGCTATTTTTTAGACGTTTTTTAAAAGGTTGGATGCGGAATTACCCCGACTTATTCTACATGTAATGATAACTGTGCCGCAAACGCCTGGGTGCTACATACATTATGGTCTCCCAGTTGCAATGAATGCGCAGCCAAAGGCTGCAGATTTAGTCAACATACTTGCAGCTTTAATATGAGATAGGGTAGACTGTAGCAATTTGTTTTTCAGAGACTAACCACCGCTTAGCTAATATGCAGCTAAGTGTGGCTGTTCTAGTACTGTGTAACTTGTTAGTCAGGGAGCATAGTTTGAACGAATAAAAGCGAACAGCCCTTGCAATTTATTAACAAGTTAATGCAAATACACTAGGTACATATTTCGTTGGAAAGCGGACGACATACCAATACCACTTTTGCTATATTTCCAAGATGCCTCTAGCTGCAAATATTCGACAGATGAAAAGTAATTAGTTGTATATTCTTAGATGCGATCCACATAAAACTGTTTGGAATAAGTACAACACCATTCTAAGTGTGCTGGAAACTATAGTTCCGAGAAATATAACGTACGCCAAAAATGCGATAATTCATGTAACAGCGTACTTGTTTACCAATAAGTTAATTGAATACTTTGGTTTGTGGCGTGACCTATGCAGCCAGACTGGATACCTTTGCTTTCTACAAGAAGCCTGACCACATCTCAGCATTGGCGGCGTGTTGCTTGGGAGCGTCGTCTTGTATAACTATTAATGGTCAATGGTACATTGTGGGTAAAATGACTGAAGATTAACGTGTCCAACTGGATGGTCGGTTAGCGCTCCCAAAATGAAAAGGAATGACGAAAATAAACAGCGGACTTGTCGATCAAAATTTCGTCCGCCAAGGCCGTTCACACATGGTGTTTTGTAATTTACAAGGCCACCCTTTTTTGTTTCTCATAGCAAAATGAGTGTGGATTAGTTTCTTTTGAAACTGCAAGCGGGCACTTAGAACTTTGCTCGCCCACCAAACTTTGATTTCCTCTGCAAAAAGCAAGCAAGTTGAAGTGAGCAAGCTCACTGGATTGTTAAGAAAGATCAATACTAGAGGAAGTCAAGGCAGTGAACTTCGGGGTACATAACCTTTGATTTGGATGAAATCTGACATGGATTCACGAGCTTTCCCTTCAAGACGTCGTTGTAGCAGAGGAGCACCAATGCCCAACATTTGAAGCTTAATGACAAGACTGCAGTGGTCCAACAGTTCGAATAATGTAGATAAGTCAAGCTAAGTCACATCAACTCTTACAGCAACGCCAATAGTTCTAGTCTTCAACCTTTAGCTGAAAAGGCACTAAATTCAAGCGAATGGCTGATTCACTGTCATTTATACCATCCCGATACGCAACTCAAAATGACTCCAGAAACGTCTGTGAATCATGACCAAAGTCATCGCAATCAGAGTTTTAAAACCAGAACCGTGAAGACAATGGATGTAGGTGCAAAGCTTGATCTAGCCTCCGCCATGGACACCCTTCGGCGGGAGTTGTTGACCTTGAGCATGACAAGCTACTAGCGATTGTCACCGTTGCTCAGTTTTCACCCGTGACCGTATGGATGTGTGTGTTATCCGCTTTGCTAGCCCCATTGACTACGATATTGATCAATGAGATGCCGTTCAAATTTTTATGCGTCGAAATGACCCTACAAATTTTGTGATTCAGTTTGGACCTTGCTTTCAGTAGTCAATCAGTATTTTGATTTTGATCTATAGTTATTAACGCCCGAAGAGATTTACCGAAAAGAATATGCTTCGCATAGTTGTGAGCTTCTGATTTGCTGGGAACTATTTGTAAGTCAATCGTGCTTAGTTATCTTCGAAGACAAAATATCCGACTTTGTGATGAGCTTGAAGAATGTCAAGTGATGTCCTCCCTAAACACCGCACTCGAAAATTGGTCCTGTCCTGTTTGCACTCCTCAGACAGAGACAGCAGGACTTCGACTTGAACCCGTGACATGAACTGAAGCCTAGAACTCTAAGCCACCTAACCGCCGGTGACAAGGATCGTCACAATGGCTTATAACTAAGTGGTTGTCGTTTTTCATGTACTCACAACGTGTATGAATTGCGACACCTAATCTCACTGGGAACTAAAATACCCTTCGAAGCGAATTTCGCGTAGTTCCCTCATTGGAAACTGCTCCGAAGCCGAAGAATGTTAGGTGTCACAAACCGTTCACATAACGAGTGTTTTAAGGTGACCCACATATTTTACCATAACAGTTCATTCTCCTAAGTTGAAGGTGGCTCTCGACCAATCGAAGGTTTATGTTCAAATAGTACTTTCCGGCTCCATGAATTTTACTTTCGGACAACGCGCTTACTTGGATCACGAGTCTAAAGACTAATGTCAACTTTTATCAATGTTTACTACATTGGGTAGTCAAAATCCATCAGTCAGATGGTTGTGGGATTTAATGATGTGTGACCAAATTAAACTTAGAGTTCATAGTACTTCAAAAGCCCTGTATACATATATATATATATATTTATATACATATATATATATATATCTAGCGTGTTTATGCGTGGTTGGTGGCATCCGATTTCGGATTTGCCTGTCACTAAGACAAGTCACAAGATGCCTGCGCCTACAAAGGGACCATGGGTGGCTTGCTCTGCACCACCCAAAGCTCCAACCACACAACCCATATCCATTGTAAACCAGAAAGAATATGACCGGGAAGTATGTGGATAGGAGCCACGTTTCATCAACGGAGCCGGCCCACACTCATTCACAGGCAAACACAAGCACGCTGCATTTGGAAATCAAGTATACCAATGCGGTGGCTGGACCGTAGTCCGCTCCACACTGAGTACATGGAACTACTCTTCGAGCCTACCACGACCACAAGAACCGTGTACCCCGTGCCGCCGAGGAACGACCAACTGTCTTCTGGAGCCAGTATGGACGAGGTAGTAGGTGATAGACAGGTAGGTAACTTGTCAATATGCACATCAAGCGCAGCCACACCGGGGACACCAACCAACAACCAGTCAGTTGAAACGACTATATCAAACAACATAAATAGATTAATGCATACATATATGCTAACGAAGCACTTTAATCAATGAGCACGTGAAATATATTGGTTGCCAAAAATAATCCGCTATAGAGTCGATATGACAGAACATATATTTTGAAAATATGTCACAATCGCGAAAATGTTCTTAAACTTAACTACATTTAGCTTAAAGGACTTGTGCAAGTTAATAGAATATAGTTCACGTAAGCAATAATGAGACAAAACAGCAAACCCTCCACCTGAAATAGAGACCCAGCATGCAAGCAAGTGGATAGTAAATCGAATGCAGCCTACCTACAAACGCTGCGCCGGTTCTGCCTACGTTCTCTACAGGACCCGTCGTTGCTTCGGTGGTGGTCCCCAGTGGCCTCGCTCATGGTTTACTAGGCCTGCCTGACGCAGGTACTCTCTACCGTACGTGCTACAGCACTATACGCTCGATGTCGATGGAGTACAACCCATCGGGGCCTGCCGCTTTCGCATTTGCCGCTTCTTCTCTGCATGCATGAGGTCTTTCACCTGCACGTTGGCAACAGCCTTCGTGATCAGATCGCGCCATGCACGCCGATCAACTGCTTTCGATTCCCATGACCTGCAATCAAGATTAGAACGTGAGTGGCTCACTTTGATCATGTCCTGGTAACGTAACTTTGGTTTCCCCACATGCCGCTTCCCAATACTCAGCTGACCATATAATAGTTGC